TTTGCATGTTGTCTCTCCCATTGGACTATGAGTTCCTTGAGACAAGAGCCTTTTTCCCCCTTTCTTTGTCCCCCTCATTTAGCACATTTAGCACAGTGGGTGCATAGCACAGTCATCAGTTCTTTTTGACTTGACTCGGCCCCAGCTCAGGCTTGCCCAAGGTTGGCTGCTTGAAGTCGTCAGAGTTCCGAGCCAGTCCCTTCCACTCATGGCCAGCTCTTGCTGCTGGAAAGTTGGTCCTGACGCCAGGCACCCCCAACCTCCCACTGCTCATTTGGACCCCTACGGCCAAACAGAACAGTTGATCCCTCTTCCAGAGGACACAGATCTCATGCCCTGCTTGGGGATGTTCAGCCTGGAGAGAAAAAAGACTCAGGTGTGCTGAGCCCAAGGATCAAAGTCAAAGGGCTGCGCTTGAGGACCTAGAGGGCTACCCATGGCCTCAAGGCCACAGGTTCCCACCCCTGCCTTAGGGCATGATCAGGTGACGGTCCAGGCCATGGAAGCCTTCCAATGAAACCTCCACTGCCTAGGCATTCCATGGAGTGAGGACAGTAGACAGACAGTAGAAGATGGCACTTGGAATGTCAGCTTCCTGAGGGCCGGGACTGAATTGTGGAATCCCAGACCTCCACGCTGGATGATGGTACCTCTGAGGGCACTGAGTCCAACGCAAACCTGAACAAGAATCCTCTCTCTCTACACCAGTAACCATCCGGCCTCTGCTAAGACCTCCAGGGACAGGGAGATCACCACCTCCCAGGCTGGGACAGTTAGCCTCTCCTTAGAAAACGCCTCCCAACGTGGAGCTGACATCTGCCTCTACAGCGTTCCTCCAGCTTTCTGGGTCCTGTTCTTGGAGATCAAACAGAAACAGTTTCATGATTGCCCGTGGATCTTTAGTGACCCGGCATGTTTTCTAAACGAGGGCAATGAGAAATCTTAACCCAACGGCGGTCAAGGTGGTTTCACAGGTATCTTGGAGGCTTGGAGGAATTGTCTTCAGGACCAGAACAGGGCTCTGGAACTGTACGGTTTATCCAAAGGAAATAGGGAAGGGAAATCCCTGGGCCTCAAGTCAGGAAGACTCAAGTTCAAATCCAGCTTTGACACATCAGCTGTGTGACTTTGAACAAGTCACTTAACCTCTGCCTCACTCTCTTCAACTATAAAATGGCTATTATTATAGCCATTTTATTATAGCCATAACAGCATCTACCTCACAGGGTTGTGACGACGAAATAAGAAAATATTTTTTACCAAGCACTTAGCACGGTGCCCAGCACATAGTAGGCACTGTGTAAATGCTTATACTCTTCCCTTTCCATTACTTCCCCTAGGAAGATACTTTCAATCAATCACAACATCAAAGGATGTAAGAGGTAAAAGGGACCTCAGCCACCATCTAACCCAACCCCTATACAAAAGGAACTGCCATTACTTCACCAAAACCCTAACCCTAAGCAACAAGCATGAACTGAGTACTTACCATGTGCCTAACACTGTGCTAGGGCTGCCCCTGCTCCAGGGGGCTGCAGGAGCCCTGGAGGCACAAGACATGCTCTGGTTTTCTATCTTTCTTTCTTTTTTTTTTTTTAGGCAATTGGGATTAAGTGACTTGCCCAAGGTCATGCAGTCAGTGTCAAGTGTTTGATCGGAGGCTGGATTTGAACTCAGGTCCTCCTGACTTCAGGGCCGGTACTCTAACCACTGCACCACCTAGCTGCCCCCTTTGGTTTTCTTTCTGTCACAAGCAAAGCAGCTAGTAAATTCTCCACCTTCCTTCATGTCCGCTTCATTCTTCAAAAAGTAGAAGACCAAGGCCCTGCTATTCTGGTGCTGGTGTTGATTCCTTGTGGTGGATGCTGAAGGAGAAGGGATGAGGACCCTGGCAGGAAGGGAACCCTATGTCCCTGAGACTGAGATAGAAGGGTGAGGAGAAAGCCCAGCCATCTGATGCACACCCTAGGCTTAGGAAGGGTAAATTTAATGCAGAGAGGAAGGCTCCACAGTCTTGAGTTCTACAGGGACAGTTTGCTGAGGGGAAGTTATCAAGCAGGACATTCTGAGAGGCCAGGCACAAATGATTCTGATAAGGAAGGTAGAGGAGCTCTGCAAAGACCCATGAGGATACACAGGGTGCTCCTAACCTAACTGGGTTTATAAAAGCACAGGTACAGAAGACGGGAGCCAACACAGGCACTCCAACAGCCCGAAGCCAATCCCCACGTTCCCCAGACCCAGTTCAGACGCTTCTCAGATGACGGATGCCTAGAAGCCTTCCTGGGTTAGCAGGACTTCTGGGAGTTCACCTTCTGCCAGGGTAGCCTTCAAGAACACAGGCCGCCTCCATAAATCCTGCAGGGTGGCCCACTCCTGTAAGAGGCATATTGGGCTGTAGCTGGCCATGAAGGAATGGGCAGCACCACTCCCTGCTCCCTTGAAATCTTGCAAGTTACCCCTCATCTTTCAAAGTGGGGCTCCTTCCACAGAAGCCTGAGCCAGCGCTGGAGCCAATCCCACCTCCTCCCTCCAGGAGGCAAGATCCTACCGGCACTCCTTAAGCCTGGGGTCCAAGGCCTCCTGTGCCCTTCCATAGCCCATCCAGGGCCGGGTCCTAGCACTCAGAGTCCAAGAACATGATGTCCAGAAACTCTCCTCCTCATGCATGGGCAGTGAGATGGCAGGTGTCTCTGCCCTGGGGCAGCCATTAGACAGTTTATTGCTGCTTTTTTTTTTCCACTTCTATGGGGAGATGGGATGATGCCAAGAGATGAAAGGGAAAATTTAGAACTTCCTAGCCCTACTTTTACTTCTGTTTTCTCTGCCAATAAATTTGATTTTGGGCCTGAAAAGTACCAAACAAAATAACTCAGTGCTTGGCCCTGAATTCTATCTTTGGGGGTTGAAAGCCACTGTCAGGTACCTTTGAAAGGCCTCCAAGAATAGGGAAGGTTTTGGAGGACTAGTCCCTACTCTTTTAAACAGGAAGAAAGAGGTTGGAGTCTCCCAGCTCTAGGCCAGGGAGCTGCCCTTTGAGTATTGGGGAAATTCTAGGACAGGTCATAAAAGAGATGATTCATGAGTGCTTAGAAACGGAACTTAGAAAGGGGCCAACAAAAGCCAGCAGGGCTTCATCCAGAATAGGGAGGGGCAGATGAGCCACACTACCCCTTATCACAGACTCCTAAATCTCAGAGCTCAAAAAGACCTCAGCGACCACCCAAGCCATGTCAAAAAAAGGATTTCCACTACAACAATCCGGAGCAATGGTCACAATGCAGGATATCTAAATGGAGACATCAGAGATGGACTCTTGGCCAGTCTTAGCAGAGCCAGAGTTCAGCAAGGTCTTTTTTTTTTTTTTTTTTTTGGCTAGGCAATGGGGTTAAGTGACTTGTCCAAGGTCACATAGCTAGTAAGTGTTATGTGTCTGAGGCCGGATTTGAACTCAGGTTCTTCTGACTCCAGATCCCATGCTCTATCCAGTGCACCACCCAGCTGCCCCTCAGCAAGGTCTTGACAAGGATTTTACCTACAGAGGCAGCACCAAGAAGGCCTGGATTCCAATCCTGCCTCGATACTTGCTAGCCATGTGATTCTACTTCGGTTTCCTCATCTATGAGATGAAAGGAACGAACTTGACTCCGAAATTCCTTTCAACTCTAAATCTACAATCCTGTGATCCCTACATTATGAAACTCGTCATCCCAACGGACCCTAGACGTCACTCTCTGGTGGCAGAGATCCCTCCCCATCCTTGTGGATGCTGGACCCAAAGAGCAGTGAAGCAGGAGGTCCCCCACTCTCTGCGTCTCTGAAGAGAAGTGTTACCCTTCTGGCCAGGGCTAGGACAGGGGAGAAGGATGACTAGAGAGGTGCTGGTGGACTTTAGGGAGGTCACTGCTAGCAGTGTTGTGATGAAGCTGAGCCCCACCCAAAGGGGGCATGACCCCCACACTGTTCACCCTTCCCTGTGTCTGCTGTGCTGCCAACACTCCTGCCCACGCTGTACTGTACCAGAGTCCAGGATGCCCACCGTACCCATTCTTAATTCAGTGCCCCCTACCCCCTCAACCACAGACAGAGCAGAGCTGTCTACACAGTCTTCAGGTCTGGATTTATTGGGCATTCCTGAGAACGGTAAAGGCAAAGGAAGAAGTGGCAGTGAGAAAGGGGCGTGGCTCAGAGGGAGAACTGGGCCTCGCTGACTCCTGGTTTGGTCCCCTCAGCTTCTGGCTGGATGTAGTTGTCCTCAATGAAGCCATCATCATCCTTATCATCATCACGTGGTAAGCCAAAAGGAACGATCTTTCCTGACCCAGAGAGTGGGCGGTGCCCATAGCTGGCACGGTGCTGGCGGCAGACATGGCACTTGGCAGCCAATGCAATGAGGAGAGACAGCAGCACAGCCGCTAGAACCACACCTACCAGAGCGGGCCAGGCCATGCTCCCGGCCCCAGCCTCTACCCCTGGTTCAGCCGAGGTCATTGAGGTCTTTGGGCTTGCTGCAGAGACAAAAACACAGGCTAAGAAGCATCCCCTAGAGGCATGACCAGACTCGAGGCCTTGGGGAATGGGGGGAACTGCCAAAAGGAAAAATGACTGAGGGCAGAGAGAAGAAAGACTGAGGGAGAAGGACAGGACAAGATGAAAGCCCTGGGGAGGGGATCTGCTTCCTTCCCTACCCCTGTTAGATCTCATGTCCACTGCAGAATGGGTGTGGTAACCCCAGGAAACAAGAAACCAAGCCTGGCAGGGGGTGCCCGCAGCTCCCTGCCACCCCTGTCTCATGCCCACTGCAGAATAGGGGTGGTAACCCCAGGAAGCAGAAACCAAGCCTGGCAGGGGGTACCCACAGCTCCCTGCCACCCCCGTCTCATGCCCACTGCAGAACAGGGGTGGTAACCCCAGGAAACAAAAAACCAAGCCTGGCAGGGGGTGCCTGAAGCTCCCTGCCACCCCCATCACCGCACTCACTGGTGTTTGCTGCTGTCATGGTCCTGAGGCTGCCTCCTTCCTTCACTGCCAACCTCAGGGACCAGTCTGGGATCCTAGGAAGCCACAGAGCTCAGGCTGCCCTTTGACCCACAGCTATGAAGGAGTCCCAGGAAGCAGAGAGGAAACTGAATCTCCAGGTCTGAAGAATCTAGGAAGGGAGGGAAGGACATGGTCTGGATCAGGCCATGCCTAGAAGAATAGGAGACTCCACCCAAACTCTCTGTCTCTGTCCTCATCCCCCAGGTTTTCCACCTCATCCGAAGCTGTTCACTCTTCCTCAGTACTGCCCCCCCCACACACACACTCACACAGACACACACACATACACACGGACACGGACACACACACACACACACACACACACACACACAAGCATCTAACCAGGCAATGAATCTAGCTGCTTCTGTCTCCACAGCTTCTCTCTCACCTGCCCCTCCTCTCTACTCCAATAACCAACTCCCATCCCTGACCCTACCCTCCCCATCCCAATGATTCCAAACCCCCAGCTGTCATCATTCAAACACCACTCTCTGTCCTCCTCTGCCTAATCCCTTATTCCCACCCCACTCAACCCACCCTGACAACGCCCTTTCTAAGACTACTGCATCCCTTCCACTATGCCCTCTGGAATTCCTGCTCCATAAGTAACAAATTGGCTTTCATCTTAGACCTTTTCCTTTCCCACTCCTTTCATCTTCCAGCTCTCATTGAGACATGTTTCCCTCTTGATAACACAGCCTTCCTGGATTTCCTTTCCAGCAGGGCTTGTACTTTTACTCATCCCACCAATTCACAGATGAGGTGAAGTCAGAATACTCTTCCTCTTTATTACCACTTCCAGTTCCTCCCTCTCCCACCATCCTTGTTTGAGGTTTACTCAATCTGTACCTATCTATCACTCAAATAAAATCCTGGTAGTTGCTGCCTGCCAACTTCCAAGACACACTCCTTTCTTCTTCAAAGCTCAGTATCTGGCTCACAATCTTTCTTTCATCCCTAATTCCTGCCTTCATACTAGGAGGTTCCAAATACATATTGATACTATCTCAAACCCCTTATCTCCTAGTTCCTCAACTTACTGATTTCTCATGATCTTTTCCTCTACCCCGCCTCAGGCATACACAAAGATCCTAGCCTTGATCTCACCATCACCTGTAGATGCACCATCGCTACGTTCATGAACTCTGAAATTCTCTTCCCCAATCATGATCTGTTGTCATTCCACCTCTCTGTCTATCTTGCAACTCCAAACTTTGCTCTTTGTTGTGTCCGTCTCCTCCAATCCCATCTGTTTCAGACCATAACCCCCATACTAGCTACTACACTCTCCTCTCTTCCCCATCTTGACCCTGCTGGAGAACCAGGTCAACCCTACACTCTCCTGCTTTCGAGAGTCTCTTGCCCTGCCAAGCTTCAGTCTCTAATTACTCCCGCCATCTACTGCTAACCACCCCTTACTCACATTCTGCTGAACCAAGCTGGAGAAAATCACAAAATTGTGCTGACTGGGTCCACTATAAATTTATGTCACATCATCTCAACTGAACCCTCATTATGACAAAGAACTCCTTGTACCCCTCCCTAATCAATTCTCTACCCTTCCCTCCACAGTGGCTTTTCCCAACCTTTTCATCCCCCTTCAAACCTCCTATGGCTCCTCCTGCCCCCACCCTTCTAACTCAGATCCTGGCCTCATATTTCACTGAAAAAAAAATGAGACCATTCAATAAGAACTTCCTCTTCTCCCTTCTTCTTTGTCTCACGTCACCATGGAGGCAGGCAGGTGGCTCAGTGGATAGAGTGCTGGGCCTAGAGTTGGGAAGACCTTAGTTCAAATCCAGCCTCAGACACTTCCTAGCTGTGTATTCCTGGGCACCTAGTAGGTGCATAATAAATGCTTGTTTCCTTCTTCTCCTTCCTTTCCAGATGCCTTCTACCACTATTCCCTGCTTCATCCATCTTACATTAAGAGGTAGCCCTTCTCCTTGCCACTGCGAAATCTTCTATATACACAAATGGTCCAATTCCATCCCATCTTCTCTAACAGATTGCCTTCCCTATCATCCCTGTTCTTTCTCTTATCTTCAATCTCTTCCTGTCTACTGGTTGTTTCCATACTGCAGACAAAACTGCCGATGACTCCCCATCCTCAAAACACTCTCATTTGATCCATCCATCCCTGCTAGTTATCATCCTACACATCTCCCTTTTGTGGCTAAATTACTTAAGAAGGCTGTCCACAATCAATGCTCCGCCTCCTTTCCTGCATTCTCTTCTTAATGCTCTACAGGGTGGCTCTGGACCTCATCATTCAATGGAACTGCTCCCTCCAAAGTTACCAATGATCTCTTAATAACCAAATGTAATGACCCTTTCTCAGTCCTCATCCTTCTTGACCTTGCTTATAGCCTTTGGTACCAATGGTTGCCCTCTTCTCCTTGATACCCTCTTCTCTCTTTTATAATACTGCTCTCTCCTGGTTTTCCCCCTACCTGGTTGACTATTCCTTTTCTGTCTCTTTGGCTGAATCTTCATCCAGGTCAAGCCCATTAACCGTTAGTGTCCCCCAAGCTTCTGCCCTGGAATAGATTCTGTCTCCTTCCAATACACTCCATCACCTCTATGTAGATGATTCTTCAATTTTATTTGTCCAGCCCTAACCTCTCTCCTGACCTCCAGCCTCACATCTCCAACTGCCTACTGGACATTTCAAACTCCATTATCTCATAGACTTCTTGCTCTCTCTCTCTCTCTCTCTCTCTCTCTCTCTCTCTCTCTCTCTCT